AGGATCTCCTACATAGATCCCCTTCCAAGTGGTTGACAGTAGTAGCCAGGCACCATCTAGTTCTTCTGGTCTCATAGTCATATAGGCTGCAGATCAGATGGTGTACCAGTGGCTAGGACTAATTGTTTTCATGAATATTTGGTTTTCTTCATTCTTCTTTGCTGTGGATGAGGAGAGATCCATCGTTGCATCTAGACGGCTCCTTGCAAGCTTTTAAGATCCTAGTTGCTACTCGCCAAAGTAGGTGGAACAATGTTTTGTGTAGTGTGTTACCATGGCAGTGGGTTTTATTTTATTTTTGTATCAAGTAGATATTAAATGGTTATCTGAAACTACCATGACTAAAACCAAACTCTGGATTTTCATTCTCACTACTAGTCTCCACTGTTTCTTGCTTGTCCCCAATATTCACCATCTCAGTTATGAGCGTCCACCTAGTTGTTAAGACCAACACTTGGATTCTTACTGAATTTTTCTCATTTTATCAGCAAGCCTTATCATCTCTTCCTTCAGTATTGCCAGAATCCAGCTACTTCCCACTCATTCCATTGCCACTACCTTGGAGCCAGCCAACACTGCCTCTTGCCCGGACAATTGCAGTAGTTTATTAAGTGGCCTCAGAACTTCATCCCTCAGCCTCCTATAGTTTTTTCCACCCTGTGGGATAAAGAAGAAGGAAGGGAGGAAAGGGCACACACTCCCATCTTTTAAGGAAGTGTACTGGAAAGTATCATACAATGCTTTCACTCACAGAACAAAATCACATGATCTCACATAGCTGCAAGGGAGGCTGGACAATGTCATTGTCATTCTGCAGAGCCATGTGCCCGGTTAAAATTGGGTCCTGCTCTTATGGAATGGGGACCAGATAGTGAGGAATGCCTGGCCATCACTTCCCTAGAACCCCTGTGTGAGTTTCCTGTCAAGGGATATGTGAAGAGGAGGTTGAGGTGGGTGGTGGCAAAACTGAGGAGCATGCAGTCAAAGTGGTCCTGAGATGAGAGAAAGGACTGTGGTACACTTGAGAAACTAGCAAGTCCTGCACAGCTGGGTGGCTGAGAACGAGACAGTGTCTGCCACGAGCAGACATGCTGACAACCAGATCTGCAGCTGCCTCACCATCTTCCCAATTAATCTCGCTTGTATTCAGTTATATATTCTACAGAAAAGTGCAGTAAGGGAATATGCTCCCAGTCCTGAAAAGCATGGAAGCTTCCATCCGTCTCGTTCCCTACATTCTGATGGTATGGAAGCTGGACCTAGGGCTCGACCTCAGGGCACAGTTGAAAACCTGAAGGTTTCGGAATCTTTCTTGAGTTCAGATGGCCGCTTTCCCAGCTAGGTCAGCCCCTCTGAGCCTCCGATTCCTCGTGTGTAAATCAGAGGTAACATTATCTGCAGCACCTCGGCCTTTTCCAGGGTGATGGGAAGGTTAACAATGAAGGGACAGGAGAGAAGATGGCCAGGAAAAGGGAAGACAAGACCGTTCCACTTAGGACCAGAGTGATGGATAAAGGGAAACTCGTCACTTCCCGTCAAGAATCTCAGAATGATTTGCTAGGTTTGCTTCTTAAAAACAAAACAAAACAAAAAAAAAACACCTCACTGCCATCGAGTCGATCCGACTCCTAGCGACCCCTCCTTGGTTTTCCGAGGCATTATCTCTAGGAAGTAGATTGAACAACCTTCCCAAACTTGAAACGGAAAAGCAGACTTCAGCCAGCAGATGGCTCTTTCTCCACACCAGTGCTGAAGCTTCATATGTAATTTACCTAAAGACCAAACCAGACTCACTGAGTTGATTCTGACTCTTAGTGACCCCTATTGGGTTTCCAAGGCTGTAAATCTTTACAGAAGTACATTGCCTCATCCTCCTCCCATGAAGCAACTGGTGGGTTTGAACTGCTAACCTTCTGGTTAGCAGCCAAATGCCTTAACCACTATACCACCAGAGCTCTTTACCTGAAGATCCTCACATTTAAATGGTGCTGTCATTCAGCTCATTTATCAATATGTTGTAGGTTTCTGTTGGAATTTTGAAATTTACACAGAAGTTTTAGTATCCAGCTACCAAAATTAATTTGTCATTGGAAATTATTATGAAATTACAGTCAGATTTCCTTTTGATCATATGTTGCGGTTATCTGTACAGTATTAAGGAAATGATTTTTCCCCACCGTGTCATTCCTCAGACTTGACTTCTCTTTGAAAGATGATGAGAAGCGTAAACAGATCGTCCTGGACCTGGCTGTCTACAGGTAAATGTCTCTTGTTATGTCTGTGGGGAATGACATCTCTGGCTGTTTTCATTCTCCGTAGCAATTTCTTGAGTTGTGATACATTTTGAAATGGAGTTTGGTTTGCCATATAGTTAAAAGAAGTTCTTTTTTTTCAAGACAGAGAACTTGCCATAATTTTTAAATGCATGAAAATGAAAGGAAAAAGAAAGAAACCCACAAGTCCATGACTATGAACTACACAATATCTGTTTCTAAGGCAGAGTTTCAGGAGCCCTGGTGGCACAACGGTTAGCGCTTGGCTGCTAACTGAAAGGGGGGCTGTCTGAACCAGCCCAGCTGGAGCCAAGAGACTGGTGCTCTGCTCCCGTAAGGATTAAAACCAAAACCAAATTCACTGCCATCGTGTCAGTTCTGACTCATAGTGGCCCTGTTGGGTTCCCAAGGCTGTGAATCTTTACAGAAGCAGACTGCCTCATCTTTCTTCTGCCGAGCGCTGTTGTGTTTGAACTACTGACCTTTTGGTTAGCAGCCAAATGCCTTAACCACTACATCACCAGAGCTCTTTCCCACATAAAGATTGTTGTTGCTGTTATGTGCCGTTGAGTCGGACCTGACTCACAGCGACCTCTCTTTGGGTTTCTGAGGCGGTATCACTATGGAAGTAGATTGCCCAACCTTCCTTCTGAGGAGTGGCTGGTGGGTTTGAACTGCCAGCCTTCTAGTTAGTAGTCAGATGCCTTAGGCACTATGCTACCAGAGCTCCCCACATAAAGATTACAACCTGGAAAACATTATGGGACAGTTCTACTCTGTCACATGGGGTCGCTGTGAGTTGAAATTGATTCAATGGCGCAGTAACAACAGGAGCAGAGTTTCAATAAGTTTACGACCATGCTGTTTTCTAATCCTGATACCACAGACTGCCCCCAGCACACACACACTTTGAGTATAGCCTCTTTACTTTTGTATTCTTCTTGTTTTTTCCAGAACATTCTCATATGACACCCCTGTTCCCTGCCCTGGTGCCATCTTGGGACCATGAGCATAGCCCAGCAGCCTCTTTGTCCTTAGAAGCCACTCCTTCTCTGCAGCCCTCTTACATTGCGGCCAGTTTCTGCTTCACACCTGGTTCCAAAGAACTGGGGTGGCACAGACTCCTGCTGGCCCCTCCTCTCCACCTCCAGACTCTCGGTTCTGTCTCCTGCTTAAAACGCCATGGTCGTCAGCTCGCATCACCATCTCCCCTTCCTTGTTAGCGCATCTAAAGGTGTCCAGGTCACTCTGTTGCATTCCTGGGAGATCCCCAGTGCCGGCTCTCTGCCCTGTCCTACTGCGTGCGAGCTGAGTGTGCACTCACACCATCTGCTCTTCAGCCTTTCCAACCCCGGTACCTCCCTCTGACAGGTGTGTGTTCTCTGCCTTGATCACTCTGACACCCTGGAGTCCTCATGTCCATCAGGACTGTGTTCACATGTCACCTTATGATATAAAATAGTACTGACACTACC